CAAAGCCTATCATATCTCCTGATCCCTGACTTGTCCTCTAGTGCCAAGGAGACCTACTTCACCAGCAGATGGAAGCTCCACACTGCTCACAGAAGGGCCAAGATGTGGGCTGCTGGTACCAAGAGTGCTCCTTCCAGAACGTCAAGATCCCAATTCCAGGTCGAGGACCGTGAAGGCAATCCACATTTCCAAGAGTGGCAGGAAGGCAGATTCAGGATGAGAGACAGAGTAGTCAATGACGCAGGAGACTTCAAAGGAGTAGTGCTGGGGGTCAAAGGAAGAAGACAAGCTGGGCAGATCACCAACAGAAGAACCCTTACACACAAGGTCACATTCCACTAACTTAGACATGAAAACCTCACCTCAAATAACTGATCTGCTTTTCAGATAAACCTACGTAACTTCTCAAGAAAAAGACCAAGCTCTCATCAACAGTGACAGCCCTAACACATCTAATCCCACCTGTTTACCCAAACCAGCTCCATGCTCCAGGGAGGTGACAGCGTCACTGCAGATCACTAACCCTTCAGAAAATGATCCTGTTGCCACTGTCTGCCAACTTGAGGGACAGCAACCTAGTTCCTTTGTAGGCTTTCATTTTCTTTTTTTCTTATTCCACTCTCCTGTGGTTTTTCTCAAAATCAAGAAGTGAGTCTGAGGTTGGCATTTGTGGTGTGTTCCATAAGAACTCTGATTCAGGTCCTGACTGCTCCACCTCAACTCGCTATTGATACCCCTGACAAAGCAGCTGAACATGCCCCAAGTGCTTGGGTCTCCGCCACCACATCAGAGATGAGGATGGAACGTCAGGCTCCTAGCTTCAGCATGGCCCAGGATACTGGTGCAGCTAGCTCGGTAGCAAAGCAGTAGATGAAAGATCAATTCTCTTTCTCTCTCAGGCAATATCTGTCTCAGCTCTCTGTGGCTCCACCTCTCAAATAAATCAATCAAGCCTTCAGAAAGTCACTATGGGCATGAGTCTGTTCATAACCAACAGCAAAGCTGTTCCCCTAGGCCTTCAGAGCAGGTCCAGCAGGCAGGGCCAGGTGGGGAACCCGCCATCAGAACTGGATCGTTAAGTCCTCTGTTAGCCACTCAGCTTCAGCCCCAGGACCTCAGCTGCGGCCCCTCATCTGCTCCAACACCCTCTGTGGCCTCCCTGAATTTGACTTGATACTCTGATTCTGAGTCCCTGTGGCCCAAAAACTGCTAAGCGTTTCTCCAACCTGTCCCCCAGCCCCTCACCATTTCTCTAACCTTAGCTGAGCAATCTAATTCTGATTGTTTTTTCAAAAATTTTGATCTCAACCTTGGACTTTCCCATACTATAGTTAATTCTGCCAAGAGAGCTAAGCAGACACGCTTACTTGGCTCTTGCAGGACCACCCAAGCCATTTCTTGCACATTCTCTACATGTCAGATATCAAATCTAATTTCTCCTTAGCCATACATTACTTTTCTAATTCTCCATTTGGTCTGTGTGTCTAAGTGATTAGGAAACAAACTCTCTCAGGTGTGTTGAATAAGCCCATAATAAATTTTAAAATTTGACCTGTATCAGGCCTCAGTCCCTATCAAGTTTTAATGTAGATATCAATGCAAAAACACTTATTCTAGTATTACTGACATCATGGAAGCCAATGGTTATGCCATTTATGTTTCCTGATGTGGCCTACTGCCACTCTCCACCACTTCCATTTGCCGCACTTGCTAAAGGTAGTAAATAAATGTAGAAAGTACCACCTCATGGTTATAGATATGATGGTCATCAGAATACAGGTGCCATGACAACCTCACCCTTAGAAGCAATTTCTAAGGGTGCTGGAGTTTAAACAACGTTCAACTAAGACCTTCACAATAATCACTGATAAGATCAAAATACAGAGATTTTTCCTATTCTTACTCTTAAATTCATTCAAACCTTCAGTAAGAATTACACAATTCCAGGGGTGGTTGTTGCTGTCTTCTGGAGCGCTACGGGGACAGTTCAAGTCTAGGCTGTTCCACTTCCAATCCAGCTCCCTGCTAATGTAACTGAGAAAGCAGCAGGCGGTGGCCCCAGTGCTTGGGCCCTGCACACACCTGGGAGATGTGGAAGAAGCTCCCAACCCCTGGCTCCTGGCTCCTGGCTCCTGGCTCCCTGGCTCCTGGCTCCCGGCTCCCTGGCTCCTGGCTCCCAGCTCCCTGGCTCCTGGCTCCCGGCTCCGGCTCCAGCTCCTGGCTCCCGGCTCCCTGGCTCCCGGCTCCTGGCTCCCGGCTCCTGGCTCCCTGGCTCCTGGCTTTGGCCTGGTCCAGCTCCAGCTGTAGAAGCCATTAAGAGGGTGAACCAGCACATGAGACATACCTCTCTCTCACTCTCTCCTCGCCCTGCCCCAAATTTGTCTTTCAAATAAGCAAAATAAATAAATATTTTAAACGTTACATAACTCCTAATGTTATTAAATTAACCAGAGGAAAAACATTAAAGATAAAGCCCATCTGTAGCACTAAAACATGTTATATTGTTGGTTACCAGAGCCTGATGCCCACGAGGCACCAACTGAAAAATAAAAGTCCTTTCCTAGTGAGGCTCGTGTCAGTGCAGGCATCCCACATGGCATCGATTCTAGTGCCGGCTGCTTCCCTTCCAATCCAGTTCTCTGCTATGGACTGGGAAAGTGGCCAGAGGATGGGTCAAGTTCTTTGGGCCCTGCACCCACATGGGAGACCTGGAAGTTGTTGGCTTCGGACCAGCTTAGCTCCAGCCATGGTGGATACTGGATGGTTGAATCAACAGAGAAAAGATATCTCTCCTACCCTCTGTAAATTTGCTCTTCAAATAAAAATATATATTTTTAAATACTTCCACTGTATTGGAGGAAAAAGTTTAGCACTTCAGCATTTTATATGTAGTAAAGCTTTTCCACAAGGTCCAGTCAACTGAAACTGGACGTCACAATTGGAGAACAGACAGAATGTTCCAAGACTCATCCAGGGGAGTCTGGGAGGGGGGGAAAAAAAAAGACTATTTCCACTTTCACTGCAGCAAAGTAGGAATACAGGAATCATTGCACATCCTGAGAAAAAGGTTATTTCAACAGTTAATCCAGAACAATGTTCTCCGCCTATGGGTCTTGCAAGGCTACAGGCTGTGTTTACGCAGAGCATGTGCGTTCACCTCATCTTCCTACGAAAGGCAGGAGTTCTCACCATATCCTAACAATATGCCCCCAAATCAAGGTTCAGAACCCACAAAGAGAAGCACAAAAATCCTCCCCACCTCTAATTTAACATGACTTTTATCTAACTCAGCAAAGAGAAATGCTCAAAATGAAGGAGACCAAAACAATTACAGGAAGATTTTTTTTTCTCACAACAGACTTACGGAAAGCATTTTATATGAATACGATACAAATGAATCCCCCGATGTCAAAATAAAATACACAAACACACGCATACCACCCCCCCACACACAAACCCTTCTCTCCTGGCCCTGACATTCTCTCAAACAGGAGACTAACAGGAATAGGATTAGCTTCCTCAGTGGTTACAACATCTGGCCCATGAGCCTCATGAGGTCCAGGAGACCATCTGATGTGGCCCTGCCAAGACAACTGCAGGCAGGACTCAAAAACCAATAAAGGTACAGCAGGCTAGTGTGTAACAGTGCCTGGCCTGCAGGTGATGTTCTAAACACCCAAATGGCCCCGGCTTAGACTGTCTGAAAGCTTACCTTTAACTGTGGCAAGCCAGGACATTACTTGCACATAAATTTTAAGTTCAGTGGGATGTGGTATGACCACATTTAATCCATTTGTTTAAAAAAGGATTCCTTTTCTTTCTAAACTGCCTCCTGGGCACAGCATGATAGCCTAGTAGCTAAATCCTCACCCTGCACTTGCCAGGCTCCCACATGGATGCCAATTCATGTCCTGGATGTTCCACTTCCCATCCAGTTCCTTGTTTGTGACCTGGGAAAGCAGTAGAGAATAGCCCAAAGCCTTGGGACCCTGCATCCACATGGGAGACCCAGAAAAAGCTCCTGGCTCCTGACTTCAGATCAATTCAGCTCTGTCCATTGTGATCACTTAGGAAGTGAAACAGCAGATGGAAGATCTTTCTCTATCCTTCTCTCTATATCTGACTTTCCAATAAAATTTAAAAAAAAATCTTACAATAAATAAATAAACTGCCTTTGCTTACTTTCTATTTTTGTTGATTTTTCTTGAAATGTCTTACACAAAGCAAGTAACTGTGAAAAATTTAAATAAACAAATGAATAAATTACAATTACTCAGACCCATTAGGAATCAGAAGGAAACCAGCAGCTCATTACAGGACCAACGCGTACATCTGCAAGGCAGCCTATTGGTCACATCTCCATTTCTGACCATTGTATTTTTAATGAATACATTTAGTGGCATTACACTCACAATAAGGACAAAATGTGACGACATTATCACGAGGTGTGCATTTCAATACAACTTTTAAAGCCAGGGAACAGGGCAGTACTGAGTAGAGATGGACTAAACAAACAGAAGCCGAGCCGGTCAGGACCGAGTAAGGTTGAGGTTAGTGGCAACAGCATGTGCGTGGTTTCCAGGAAACCTTCAGTAAGACTGCTGTTAGCCCTAGCCCCGCACCTTGCCCAACCCAGTGCGCTGCCTCTTCTTCCAGCTCCCGCCTGGCTCGGGCAGCACTGCCCTGCTCCCAGGGGTGTAGCCGCCCAGCCTGAACTCACCTTGGCAGTGGGAAGGCCTGGAGTTCAAAACAAGTTAATGCATCATGCCACAAGTGCAGTGAACATGCAAACTTCATAACACTGTTTCCAGAAGAGAGAGAGAGAAAATGTGCCACCAAAGTGACAACCTCACCACCAAATACCCGGAGAGAGGAGACACAGTTCTTCAAACCCGTATTTACCACAAAAGTCAAAAACAAACAGTAGGTAGCATCACTTTACCACAAACTTTCACCTAATGGATTAGAAAAGTACCAAAAGGAATCGTGGCATCACCTACTTTAACTGCCATTATCTGCCCACTTGGTTTGTGGACCATTTTGTTGACAGAACCATAAGCTCCTCGTCCAATCTCTCCAAGGTCTTTCAAGTCCTCGGCAGTGAAATCCCAGTGTTGTTCGGGGGAGATCTTCAGTTTTCCTGATGACTCAATGCTGTGTGTTCTCAGTCTCTCTCTGTTAAAATATTGGGAAGCAATTTGTCCACATTGTAAACAGGTTTTAACTTCTTTTAGTTAGCACTGAATCAACGTGTGGGAAAAATGATTATTTTCTCATCAGTTAGCGAAGTAGTCTGACCCTGCAGATTTTTTAATTTTTCCTTTAATGAATACACCTAGTAGACACAATAAGGACAAAATGTGACAGTCATCTTGCTTTTCACACACTCAGTTTTAAAAGATTCTAAACTGGTCAACAAACACAACTTCATAAAACCAAATTTGCATTTATTTTGTGAAATTAGCTCTACACATCAGTTTTATTGTCCAATATAAGACCTTACTCAACTCTGGCAAAACTGTATTTCCTAGTGAGAATCTCAGGAGCTGCAAACTCAGTTCTAGAAAGTTCTTACCCTGTCTTAGCAACATTCACTATTCCAGAGCCTTACTCTTAGCTAGGACCACTGAATCATGTGGGGAAGGGTTCTTGAGTTCCAATGTCCAGGGATCTTTCCCATTGCAGCCAAGTCAATGGGATGCCATCTGAGGCACAGAGTGACCAGTTTTGTTGAAGAACCTCACGTGATCCCTGCCATGTCTAAGCTACCGTCTGAGTATCACGCCTTCTTCTCGATAATACCAGGTGAAGGAACAATTAAATGACCTGTCATTGCCATTCAAAATTGAACCCGTCAGACCTTAGTCAACAGACAGAGCAGTGCAGTAAAATATGATGACGCTAAGACAGAAATTTATTCAGCACAAACTTCTATGAACTGAGACAGCCACCACCAAATTTCCAATCTGGAGCTCAAAGTACTAACTGAACATAAATTGTATCTTTCAACCTTATTTGTAAAGGTTTCGCACTAAACGATTAGAATTTCTTTAAACTTTAATCCCATGATACAAATAAAACCCACTTTTGAATTTGGCCATGTTCTTCTTCTTTGAAAATTATTTTCTGTAGCAAGGCTTAAGGTTCTCAAAATGTTTAGACATTTTAAATTTTGTTCCCAGAATGATAATCTATAAGAATATTAATAATAACCAACCAAGATTCAAACTTACAGTTCAAAGAATAACACGTCTTGTACAAAAAACAACTTGGAGAGTCAGTATCCTCAATAACAGATACTCAAACCACATTAAAAAGCCGTAACACCAGTTTTTACTCATTTAAGTGCTTTTTCATGCAGGCCACTTTACCCTTTACCAATATTATTTGATACTCTGGCATGAAGAATCATATGAAGCCAAAAATCAGATGGCCCAAGGTCTTGGACCCCACATCTGCATGGGAGACCTGGAGGAGGCTCCTGGCTACGGATCAGCTCAACTCTAGTTGTTGCAGCTACTTTGGGAGTGAACCAATGGATGGAAGATCTTTCTCTGTCTCTCCTTCTCTCTGTTAAATCTGCCTTTCCGGTAAATGAAATAAATCTTAAAAAAAAAGAAATCACTTGCAAGCTGGCACATTTTGAAGGTATCCAGTAATGCGAAGGCTGTAGCTGACAGGCTCTAAATGGTCCCGCAACCCCAACCCTACTGATGTTCTCATTTTTATCTGTGCTTCTCTCTGAACATGCGCAGGACCTGTGACTTGCTTCTAAACAGCAGGATATAGTGCAAGTGAGTGGCATAATGCTTCTTCCTTGTATCCTTGAAAACCAACATGAGTGTTTCACTACCACAAGGGTAGTGAAAACATCAAGGGAGTTTCACTGCCATATAAAATCAGAGAAGAAGAAGTTACCATAATATTTCCATGACTTTAAAGATGAAATCTCTGCCATCAGTTTAGCTTACTGCAGCCTGCTGTGTGGTTTCTGGATAAAGTATCTTATTTTCTCTTTGAAAGTGAACAGGCTGACAGCTAAGAAATGCAGAATAACTTCTTTAGCTAATGAAAATGTGTTGGATATACAACTCGGTGCATATAATGATGTATCTGAACTACATCCTTTAGAAGTGTCAATTGTAGGTGTCAATTGTAGGATATGTGAATTATATTTCAATAATACAGAATTTGTAAGACAAAAGTAGACAGGAGAATGTGAACATAACTCAGAATTCAATGTTTTTCATTTAAATAGAAAAAGTACCGTGAAAACTATACCAGACATCGCCAAGTCTTCATTCATATTGGGTTGGCAAGCTTTCCTGCAGAACCGCACCAACTTTACAGCTATTTAAATAAGGCTTAGTCTAAGTATGAGGAGCTGTACAGAGATACAGCACTGGACTGACAAGACCTTGAAGACTGATTGCAGCAGTCGCTCAGTTTCTGCCCTACATCCTGTGAGAGGTCTAGGAAAGAGAGATAATGGACAATAGAAAACACACAAACCAAGCAGGCTGGTGAAAAGTAAAAAAATCTGTAAAGATGAGAAGTTACCCATATTTACGGGTAAACATTTACCTGCGGTTCAACTTCAAAAAGAAAACTAGGCTCTCTGCTTTACCTGGGGATACCCCTTTCTTGAGAACTGTATTTTATCAAAACACAACACGGAAATATCGCTCAGGAATCTCCACGCACAATTTTACATGCATTACCCTAACAGCCTTCAGTGACCACTCCGCAGGGTTCCAACCCCAATCTCCTCTTCAGAAGTTCAACCAAGAGCCCCTGTGGCAGAAACCAGCAGGTGTCACTTTCAGTAGCCCCTCTCCTCATCCTTTCTGATGTCGTCCCCTTTTTTCCAGGCCTACAAGGGCACTCACCTGCAAGTCTACTTCCCCACCCACTGCTGCATGCTCAACTGGGTTCCCTCCTGAATCGTGGGCTGAAGCCCTAACACCCCATGTGATTGCTGTATTGGAGACAGAGCCTCTGATCTTCATCTTGGACTCTCCAGCCTTCAGAACTGTGAGAAAGTTCTGCTGTTTCAGGTCACTAAATCTTCATGTGTCTGCTTTTGTTCCCTATAATGCCAACATGAGTTAAAACAACCAACCAGCCTCTCCTGAAGGTACGCATGGCAATATATGGCATGCAAATACTACAACAGAGGTGATTCTTCTGGAAAGGGTTCCATCTTTCTTTTGTTCATCCTTCTCCTGCTTGCCCAGAATGTCAGTGATGATCACAAGTCCAACGTCCCCAATGCCCTTAACAGAAACAATGTTCTGAGAACAAATGCGGCAGAAGGTAAAAGCACCTCTAGACTCTGACAGTGAAGCCACCCCAAGTCTACACGTCTCCAGCCTGATGGAGAGGGGAAACTATGGCTTAAGATGTTCTGGTTGCTACATAACCCCTAGCACTAGCACTACTTTATTTTCCATTGGTCCTTACAGGAAGCAGTGCTCCACACCCCAGCATTTAGAAGTGGGGAAAAGGGCAGCAGTTCCATTATTGTAAGGATGGGGAAGTTCCCCTGGCTGGCAGCCAAGAACGCCAAAAGCCTTCAGATCCATAGGGCATTTCCAGACGACAGGGCCAAAGTGCTTCCTCGAACAGAACTCTTCGCTCAACTTACTGTCCCGGATTCCTTACAGTGCTAATACATCCCAAATCTAAATGAATCATTCCTGGTTCCCAGACACTGAGCAGTTCCACACTCCAGAGAATACACATACACACAGAGAAAGGGAGGGCTAGAGAGAGAGAGAAGAGAGAGAGAGAGAAGAGAGAGAGAAGAGAGGGAGAGAAAGTAACATAGATGGTACTGGCAACCAAGGGTGTTAAACATGTACGTTCATAAATGTGAACTTCGGCAAAACTTGGTAGGTTACAGCTAGGATACTCAGCATAGGGCTTGAATCTATTATAATGCAGATCTTATTCAAGTACAATTGAACGTATAGAAAATTCCATTTTTAAAACATTTAAATTAACTTGTATGAAAATCCAAAAATTAATTTTTGAGCCTCCATGTTTCCATTACAGACCTTTCTGAATACCCAGCCATCTCACTCCTGAAAATGCACCCAAAGAAAAACTAAATCAGCATCAAAAGAATTCATGTATACCCCTATGTTTAAAACATTTCAATTTACAATAGCTAAGACATGGAATCAACCAAGATACCCATAAACTAATATCTGCATAAAGAAAATGTGGTGAGCTCATGGGCGATTTAGCCAGTATGATGGCTAAATGGTTAAATCCTCACCTTGCAAACACTGGTATCCCATATGAGCGCCGGTTCATATCCCAGCTGATCCACTTCCCATTCACTCCCTTCCTGTGGTCTAGGAAAGCAGCAAAGGATGACCAAAAGCCTCGAGATCCTGAACCTGCATGGGAGACCCAGAAGCTCCTGGCTCCTGGGTTCAAATTGGCTCTGCTCCAACCACTCAGCCATTTGGAGAGTGAACCAGATAGAAGATCTTTCTGTCCCTCCTTTTCTCTATAAATCTGATCTGCCTTTCCAATAAAAATAAATAAATCTGTAAGAAAAGAAAGGAGAGGAGAGGAGAGGGAAGGGGAGGGGAGGAGAGGGCAGGGAAGGGAAGGGGAGGGGAGGGGAGGGAAGGGGAGGGGAGGAGTGGAAGACAGGAGAGGAGAGGAGAAAATGTAATATATATAAGAAATCAAACCATGCAAGAATCCTAAGAATGAGGAGAATATGTTAAAACAGACATGGACAATATTTTTAAAAAGAATGAAATCAAATGTCTGACACAAAGACTCTGGATCTGGAGAGTGGTGGATCCCTTTCCTAACATTTGATTCTTTTTTTTTTTTTTCAAAGATTTATTTATTTTTATTGGAAAGTCAGATATGCAGACAGGAAGACCTTCCATCCACTGATTCACTCCCCAAGGGGCTGCAATGACCAGAGCTGAACCAATCCAAAGTCAGGAGCCAGGAGATACTTCCGGGTCTCCCACGTGGGTGCAGGGTCCTAAGGCTTTGGGCCGCCCTGGACTGCTTTCCCAGTCCACAAGCAGGGAGCTGGATGGGAAGTGGGGTCGCCAGGATTAGAACCAGCGCCCATATGGGATCCAGTGCATGCAGGGCGAGGACTTTAGCCGCTAGATACCGTGCCGGGCCCAGTATTT